TTTGGTTCTGAAGACACGGTTGAAGTTGGAACAACGGCACTTCACCCGCGAACGTGACTTCCCTTCGCTGAGAACAACAAGGAAATTTTTTCCCTCGCGGCGCCTGCTTCCCATGCGCGTCAGCGCACTTCCTCCCCGAATTGCGCAGGGAAGTAAACCTAGAACTCCGCATGCGATTATCCTATTTCAGTCTCTAGATTTCAGAATCCAGGATCCGTATTCGATGCTCTGGGATTCTGCGTTCCGATCGGCTCCCGATGGGAGAATATAACTTTATTCCGGAGAGGATCGTTCATGGAATAGCAGGAGCCTATGATGTTGATTCAGACTACCCATGAACCCCCCTCCGCCAACCCAGCAGGACTGATTGGGAGAGGGTCAGAGAGTCCGGCTGTCGGGCCTATGAGTGTCGGGCCAATGGGCTGTAACCGACCCATGAATATGGATTTAGTGAATGGGAGAAGCCCGAAAAATTTGTAAAAGACTAAATAAAATCCAAGATCATTGAGAAAAAAAAGAAGAAGCCCGAAAGGATGGCTTCTTCCATTTACTAAATCCATATTCATGGGTCAATGCTGACTGATTATCTTGAAGTCGACCGAAAAGTAGGCAGCTGAAGCAATATGCCGCGGCTTTCGACGGGGAGTATGCGAGCCACGTCCGAGTGACTTTCTGCCCCTTTCCGTGACCCATCTCTTTGGCGAACCACGATGCATTCATGCTTCTTTCATTATTGAGGGTGAAAGGTCCATCCTTATTCTGGAACTGGAGACTCCCCAGCCTGACGAGCTCGACTCTCAAACCATGACTTTTCAAAGCAAATCAGACGATCTCATCAATAGCATCGTCAGTGTTTCCGTCCTCCGGTCGTTCCGGCTCGTGACAGCCATCAAGCCATCGTCCACATATATTGCCAAAAGCAATTCTTCTTTGTCCGTAGATCTGACGGAAAGACATGGATCAGCATTTCTTGCTGACATTCCAAGCTTCTTGATTTGGGTGATGAATCGCTTGTTCCAACATCGTGGCGCTCGCTTCAATCCATAAAGACTGCGTTTCAGTTTGCACACCTCCCCATCTTTGGTTCGGTAACCCTCGGGCTGTTGCATCTAAATTTCCTCCTCCAGTTCTCCATAAAGGAATGCCGTGGTGACATCAAATTGCCTGGAGTCCTTCGTTTGCTGCCACACTCAGGATTGAGCGTGTGGTTGCCAGCCTTGCTACAGGGCTGAAGGTTTCTCTATAATCGATTCCATAGCGCTGAATGAGTCCCTTGCGAACGACTCTCGCCTTGTATCGTTCTATTTCTCCAGTCGACGTCTCTTTCACACGGTACACCCACTTGCAAGGAATTGCCTTCGCTCCCTCAGGGAGATCCACAATATCCCAAGTACCGTTCTCTTCCAATGACGCCATTTCTGAATCCATTGCTTTTCGTCATTACTAACTCGTCTCACTCTGGATGGCCTCCGAACAGGTTCCAGGAGCGGCATACACGCACATGATTACTACGACCGTAGCGTAATCACCGAGATATCCAGGCTTCTCCAGAGCCAGAGGATTCCTCAGGAATGCTCCCCATGTAGAGGTCCACCCCGAGGGAAGTTCATCAGTTCCTTTTTCGCTTTAACTTTCATCCACAGTGTCTTGACCTTCGCCCGATCCTTCTTCTTTCCGAGTAGCTTCCCGGTCTGATTCTCTCGGGAAATTCTCGCTGCCTATGTCGAGCTCTTTCTCACGATCCTTTTCGTGGATTTCTCCTCCTAATCCTTCTGTTGCATCACCCGCTGTTTCCTTCTGCGGCAGTTTGACGAGAATCTTGCACTCGCTTAGTCTCTCTTGGAACTGAATATCTCTTGAGACCACGATGTTCTGCTTCTGCAGAACGTATACCCTGTATCTTTCTTCTCCATCATACCCAACTAGATAACTTCTTTCTGCTTTCTTGTCCGTCTTTCTACGCTCTTCGACTGGTACATGAACATAGCATAGACATGCTACAACTCTCAGATGCTTCATCCTGGGCTTCTTCTGCAACCACAACTCGTGCGGGGTTGCTCCCTCTATCGAAGATTTTCCTGTTCGATTCGAGCAGAACGAGCAGTGTGTGAAGGCGTTCAATAGGCTAAAGGCAACATTGATAGCAGGCCCAGTCTTGGACAGGTTCGTCTCAGGAAGGGCGACGGAAGTGTTAAATAATTTGAGTTTGTAGAATATATGATTCGATTTCGTTCAAATTGTTGCGCTGGAGAGGCGCTCCCATCCTCTCTCAGAATGAAGGGATCGTGTGTGTGTGCTGAAAAAGAATACAGAGTCACGCGGCAGCACGTGAGGTCATCAAGGAATCCCGTGTGTGCTCCCTAATTCCGATTCATTCCGAAACCATCCGAACCGTGCTCGCCGCAAATACTCCACAAAGATTGGTGCCGTGACTAGGATTACCCCGAAACCGAAGTTCTTAAGCTCCTTGACCCCCGTTTTAAGTGCCTTCTGTGACCGTCACCACCATGCCGCCGGACAAGGAACACTGGGTTTACACTAGCGAGGAACCCACTCCGCTGTCGCCGGAAACCAGGAAGAGGTTGAAGACGCCCCGACAGCAACGAACGATCAAGAGACGTTTTCTCACGAAAGAAATCGAAAAAGTAGAAGGGTTGCAAGAAGCGACCAAAGCACGCGCATCCGTGAACTCCGTGGAGAAATTGTGAATCTGCTGCAGGATGTTGCCGAGCTTGCGATAGAAATCAACGAAACCGAAGAGTTCGAGCTCAAGATTCAGGAGGTCATCGCGGCGGTCTCCGTTGTTGCCGAATGCCACTCGGATGTGCTCGGTGACTTGACTTCCAACACATCCTGTGGTACCCCAGAGGCGATTCGCCATGCCCGATTCGATTTGCCGATGGAATCTACAATGAGTGGGCCGTCTCGATCCACTCGAGCTCAAGAAGTGGTTGACAACCACGGTTGGAGCGGAGGCTCCCCTCCCGCGCCGCCTTCGGCAGCAACACCGGCGCCGGCTCGCCTCTCTCGAGAACTAGATATTTCCTCTGAAATATTCTCCGGCGATCGTCTCACAATCAGATATCGCGCGTTCATGATTCAATTCGAATGTTTCGTGAACAAGCGGCCAGAGAGTCTTCCCGTCGAGAGATGAATGTCTCTCCGCAAGTTCGTGGGGGGCGAGCCGAGGGAGATCGTGGAGTCACTGGATCGGACCGACGCTAACTATGAGGTGGCGCTACAGCTACTCGACGAGTACTACGGACGTGTGGAGAACGAGACCGAAAGAATCCGATGGAATCTCCGCAACCTTCCGAACATATCCAGATACCAGGATCTGACGGCGCTGAGGAAACTCGTGACGTCAGTGCGGTCTAACATCGCTACGCTAGCTGCAAACAGGATATCGCTCTCTACGTTCGCGCCGTCGTTGAGGTCGGCATTGGCTTGCATTCCTGTGGGTCCGACGCCCCCATCTCTCCCCTCTATCTATCCTCCCCTCTCCCAAAATATCAGAATCTGGTAGACCTGCGAGAAAGAATATTATTAAACAACCGTCCGTTTTCTCTTAATTTTCTCTCACATCTCCCTCCTATCAACTGGGTTAAGTCTTGAACGGGCTCCCATACGATGTTAAGGCTCCGGTTAGCTACCCATAGTTCAAGCGTAAACTCAGAGTTTATCTTCTCTCGTTATAAGCATTGTTCCCTATAATATGCGGCCCAGGCCTGCGGGACTGCCTTATGAATCTCTCATGCGCCAGTCTCACCCCAATTTCAGTAAATAAATGAATGACATTTTGCTTATATACAAGGAATGTGGTTAAGCAGTTTTAAGAGTTCCCGAATAGATCAGCCACCCAGGAAGTTAAGTTTCCCGAGGGCTCCACTCTGGAAGACCCCGCCGGCGATGAGTCTTGCATTGCCCCTCTGAACCTCCACCGAGATCCGCTGCTTGATGAAAGCAGCCGCTCGTCGATTACCGTCCCTGCTCTCGATCTTACGTCCTATCGTCAGTGGCGTCCACAGGATTCTTCTTGAGGGGGGGCTAGATCGGGTTTTCGCATGGAGCTGATTTCCAACATGGCGACCCGCTCCTATATCTTAGCACTATGAACTCTCAATCTGGGAGGGGGCTATAGCCCCCTAGCCCCCCCTCTGCGGACGCGCCTGCCTATCGTCTTGACAAGTCCTAGGGCCTCGCTACCCCAGACACCCGTAGACTCGATCACGAATGGCACCAGGATGAATTCGCGGAGCAGAGACGTCTTTTTGGCCTTTTTTTCTCCCCCCACCCCCCCCCCCCCTCCTGAGGGCCACCGCGCGTCCGTTGTGAGCGAATGAATGAATGAACACAAGGTGTAACATTTATGAAGATATTCCTCATGCGACGCCGATGTAGGCCTCTCGATTAGGTGGAGTGTGATTCGTGAATTACTTCAAGTTCGAAAGGAACCGACACTTCATGGAGTCGCGCTGTACGTTGTAGCTCGATTCAGAGAAGGCGATCTTCGTTATCATCCGGAGTTGAATGATTATTCGTCTCCAGAAGGTCGTACTCGACATGATTTTTCGTCAGACAACGGAGTATAGAAGCGATAGGGACGAAAGAGACATGGGCCTGACTGTTGGACCCTTATAAAATTGGATAGGCCCATATCCTCCCCTGGCATGTCCTTTCGTCAGTACCGGAAAATCATCGCATTCCGATGTTCCGTTCGAGAGTGATCGCGATACGTGCAGAGAGACATACATTCGATTTTATATCCCCCTATCATAAAATAAAAGCGCTGTGTCCGTCCGTCCGTTCGCGACTTTTCGACGCTTTCCCTCCCTTCATTCCGCTTCCAAACAGGCTCATCGGATGCGGGATGATTCCGCGGTGTGCAAATTGGCCTCCTTCCAAGGTTTTATTAGTCGCTTAGGGGGTGAATGCCGGAAGAAAGGAAACTTCTTCACCTAGATTGGAATGCTTCGGATGACGTCATTCGGATGATCGTTATTCGACTTGATAAATTCTTCCTTTCAGTAGTGAACCAGTCCTAATAAGCAACGAAACAAATAATGTGTTTTAATATAATAATAACAATATATATATATAATAATATATATAATATATAATAATATATATAATATATAATAATAGAAACAAATAAGGCAAACGAATATCAGCGGAGACGGGCGACTCCAGGGCCACCGAATATCTCTTCCAACGCTTGGCGATCGAGGTGCAAAGGGGCAATTCCGCAGCCGTCATCGGCTCGTTACCACATAGGGACGGTCTGCCGGATGTCGGCTAGCGTGGTGCTGTCATTGTACACAAAGTATATGCGCTAAAACCGAATAAATCAATCAAGAAATAATGTGTTCTCCTCGAGAGAAAGAGATGCTCAAGAGGAGCTTTGCTTTGGGTTCCTGACCGTGAAAACCCTTCTCGGATCGTATGTAGATCTGGAGATAACAAATAACGAGTGGTCCTATGGGGCACTCGATCTCTCTGCACTCGATCCCTAAGGATCTCACGGTTGAAAAACAGACGAAACATGCCGAAGTGCGCAAACTCGCGTCGTGTTCAGACCCGCTCATATCGACAATCTGCCAGACTGCGTAATCAGCGAAATAGAGCCAATCAATCAGAAGAGGGAATGCAATCCATTCGAAATCTTGATGCAGAGCAGCATCGTGAACACCGAGCGCGGGTAAGCGAAGATGAAGCAGCTGCGGTTCGTGATTCTAACGCTGAACGCCACAGGGCTAGACGATCCGCTCTTCCTTCGACAGAGGGAGCCTCCATCCGTGTTCAAAACGCTGCCCTGCATCGATTACAGAGAGTCCAACAAAGAACTCAGAGAGCTCGAGGGACGATGGGTATGGCTCGCGAGCCTCAAAATTACCCTACTTCTGCTCATTCATCGGGCAACATGAGTGACTATTGCGCAGGGCCGCGCACTTCCTTGGTGAGAGTACGTCCACTGGGCAGACCGCGTAAACTCTTTGCTGCTCAAAAGATAAAGTCCGCCTATCACCATTTGAGAATTTTGCATCGGTCATACGAGCCCTATACCTGGATCAGGATTTCGATTCCAAGAGCTTCCGTCAACACATCCGGAATTACAATAACGCGCTGGCAATGGCATCCATGACGGCGAAAATAGAGCCACCGTCGGGATTCGGGCCGTATCGCCTCCGTGTCCACGGTCAAGTATACCATAGAATTGGGGGAATTCTACCGCAGGGTGGAGAACCGCCACAATGTGCTCAGGTGCTCATCATGGACACCGAGCAAGCGGCTCAAGAATCAGTGGGACGAGAAGTCAATCATAACTATCGCGAAGACCGCTTTGCTCTCCCCCATGCTGCTTTGAACCAGTTCAACCCGTATGTACGAGCCTTCCGACTCATGACAAAGGTCACTGATGAAAAAGTTTTCGAACAAACTGCTGACGACGATCAGCGACGATACAATGCGGCCACGGCGAACGAAGTGGCCATCGTATACGTCGGTGATGAGGAGAGCATTCCAGGAGAGAGATTGTTAGTTGTGCAGGAAACGAGTGGTCTCCTCCGTATCATCAGTCACTTTGACCCGCTGTGTGATCCCCTCACGTATCCCTTATTCTTTCCAAGCGGAGGAGAGGGATGGCATCCACAGATAGAGCGGCAAAACACAGCTTCGTCGAGTCGGACCAGAGTAACTCAGAAAGAGTACTATTGCTATCTATTATTAACCCGAGATGAGGTCGTCAACCCATTGCACTACGCAGGTAAACTCTTACAGTAACACATCGTCGATAGTTGGCTCAACATAGAAATGAATCGTCTCAACTATATCCGCCAGAACCAACAAGAACTCCGTTTGGACACGGTCCAAGGGCTGAACGAGGGGAGTGGTAAAAATGACGTGACCGAAATGACGCAGGCCCAGAATGACGCGACCGAATGGACGCGGGAAAAAAATGACGCAGGCCCAAAATGACGCAAGCTTTGTCTGACGCGAGCCCAAGATGACGCGAGAAAAATGACGCGGGAAAAAATGACGTGAAATAGCCGGAGCGCAGGAACAGCTAAGACGGGTGAGCGAAGCGAGCATACTCGTAGTCATGCCATTCGAGTATGAATATTCTCAACAAATGCCACAGTTTGGGTCGGGTTAGTTCCCGGGCGAGCGAAGCGAGTATATGCGGAAGCTAAGACAGGGGAGCGCTAGCGAGCATACGCAGACCTGAGTCACTGTGAGGCGGACTAAACCTAAGTGAGGGTAGGGCCGCTGCGCGGCTTAATCCAACTAGGCTCCCACCTTGCTCTCACTTAAGTTTATAGCCGAACAGCATCGGGAGCAACGTTTGCGTTTAGCATGTTCCGCTTCGTGTACTGGCCACTTGTCCTCGCGAGATTTTTCGCCGAGGGTTTTTTTTGATTCACTCCCTCGCTTCAAGCCCATCGTTAGATCGACCGTCGGTATGTAGCAGACACATTGGATTCACTTTCGAGACAAGGCTTGAAAGTGAGAGCTTGAACATTTTTGAATTATCCCTCGAGAACACTATCCCCATGTGCTCGGTGACTCTCACTTGCGGCCGAAACTCGTCGTGGTGTGTTCGGAGCTGATCTGTTGGCTAATTCGTGGTTGGAGGTCTGAAATAGTTGAGGTGATTTTTCAACATTCGTTCGCAATGCAAACAAGGAGCAACAAAGGCGGAAGGATGTTCATATGCGATGGCTTTGCATATCATTGCGATAGAGCATCCGCGGACGGTTCTACCGATTTTTGGCGCTGCGAGCAACGGGGGTCAGGCCATACAGTTTATTGTCACACGAGCTATGTGAATACTTCTTAAAATACATAAATATACGTACAATACATGTGTAAGCCGGAACGGGCGTTCGAACTCTGAGAATCGCTCCTCCCTCGGATCTTCCGACCCTGCTGATCGAACCGGCACGTACACACTCCCTCAGGTGGTATCTTGGGCATCTCGCGCCTCAGAATAAACATCGGCAGCGGTCGTCTGCCTCGTGAAATTCCCGATTTGCGCAGACCAAGTGATGGAATCCGTGGACTGCAAACCTTGTTATTGCATGTCGGTTATCCCTGTCAGCCTCTTTCCATTTGTTGTTCGTCATCGCTGGTGTTCTGTAGAGCTCTGGATCGACGTCGTCCATCTTTTGTTCCTGAGTCGTCAGGAAATCTCTGAATGCTTCGGTGTCGGCGAGATTGAATCTACTTTTCAGGTCCTCGATGAAGGTTGAGGTCTGGGCCAGGAGATACACCAATCTGTTTCTCGCTGTGCGGTGAACACCGAGGGTTCGCTTCAGGAATGATGACTTCGCTTTGTCGAGGGTGCTCATGTCGGCCAAGCTCAGATGTTCCCATGTGATTTGAACGGCATACGATGCTGTAGGCGCCACTTTTGCGTCGAAAAGTGTGAGAGCGGTTGCGAGGGACAACCGTCGAGGATTTGCTATCGATGAAGAGGCGATTTCTGCTTTCCTGATTCTCTCTCTCACGTGTGCGCTGAGCGAGTGCCCTGTCGATGCTAGCGTGACTCCTAGGTATGTGAACGCCGTCACATATCTGACGGGGTTCCCCATCGAGGGTTATCCGATCTGAATTCGCAAGTCTACCGCCTCGGCGGAACTTCATGAACTCAGTTTTCGTCGTGTTGATGCTGAGGCCCACTTCCCTCACGCACTTTGTAAGGGTCGTGGCTGCTCTTTGCAGATGGAGACGGCTCTGACTGTACATGCAAAGATCATCGGCGTACATCAGAATTTTCACCAGAGGGTGCGTTTGAGTTATGCGCTCTGGGAGGTCATTGATCAAGACCGTGAAAAGTTGAGGGCTCAAATTGTCCCCCTGACCAAAGCCATTGGTATGCTCCAATCCTGACCGTATCTCGACACCATCGTTGATGCTGATCTGGTTCTTTTGGAGGACCGCTCTGATCAGGCCAAGAATCTTCTCGGGGACTCCCGCCTCCGCGAGTTTCATGATAGCCACCTGGCGCGACCGGGGGTCGTGCAGAGCCAGGTTACACACGGTTGATGGAGTTGTCAAAGGAATCGTCAATGATCATAGTCATGACAGCAATCCAGGACTCATCTAAGCAAAAGGAGCGATCAACGAGATGAAGGATCGAGCAAAGGAGACTCGCGAATCTACTTCTCAACTTCTGCATGCCTCATTGGAAGGCCTTACTCGAAGTGTTCTCGGCGTTTTGCCTTCACAGGAAGTTCTGAGGAAGAATATCAACAACGTTTGGAAGAGAACCAGTCATGCTCCTGCCGTTACAATGTCTTTGCAAGAGCTCGTATTCCCCCATGAGTACACAATTTATGAAGCTGCACCAAATGAGACTGAAAAATTCCTGCTTCCCGATATTGGACCGGCTTCAGATCGGATCTTGATTTTCGGGCGGGAAAAAAAATTGGAAAGGTTCGGAAGCAGCTCTACGTGGTAAATTGACGGGACTTTTTCGATTCTTCCGCCTTTCTTTTACCAAGAATATGTGATCATAGCCGAGCATTTAGAGTTGGCGCATCTGATTTTCTATGTGTTGTTGACTGACAAAAGCGAGAAGACATATATCAGAGCGTTCCAAATGATAAGAGAGCTCGATTCTAAGATTGAACCGAAGGACATACACTGCAATTTCGAATTAGCCGCTATCAACGGTCTCCTTGAAGTGTTCCCCGAGGCGAATATCGCGGGATGTTACTTTCGTCTTCGTATGCAGAATTGTAGGAAACAGATTGTTTCGGAGGGTCTAATTCCCGAATACAATAATGACTCGGAGTTTGCTAGTCAAGCCAGGATGATTCCATCTCAGGCATTCGTACCGATCGAAGACATCGAAGATGCTCTGGAAACCATGACGGACTATTTGCCCGAAAGCCTCAAGCCTATATTAGAGTGGTTCGAGGATAATTACATCGGTCGACTTGACCGCAGGGGGCGGCGCCGAGCACCCAGGTTTCCGCTTCAGATGTGGAATCTGTACCAACGAGTTTCGACCGAATCTTCGAGAACGAATAATACTGTCGAAGCTGCTCATCGACGATTGCAGATGGAACTCAACGTCGAGTATCACAGTATACGGCGTTTCATTGACGCTCTGCGTTCGAGCCAAAGAGGCCTCGACGCATTTTACGAGTCGCTAGTTGCAGGTCGTCCAGTGCGTAGGAAATCTGAGAAATATTGTACATTCCGGCCGATGAGAGAACTTCGAAATTGGTGACAACGTATGATTCGAGAGAATTGATCGAGTATCTGAGAGGATTATCAAATAATCAAGAGTTGAAGAATGATAATAATAAAGAAGTCTCGCTAAAGAACAATCCCTGCTCGGCTAGTCTAGATCGGACGATCCCGAGACAATTCTGATCTTCGGAAGGTCCAGCACGGCCTCTTGGATTGGGGAAGTCTCTAAGATTTACGTGGATGGGACTTTTAGCTTGGCCCCTGACCTCTTCTCCCAAATATTTCTCATTCTCGCGGAGCGTCCGGAGACCGTGACTCCAATCTGCTACGCACTGATGTCGAATAAGTCCAAAGAAAGCTACTGCAAGGTAAATCATTTCTTCCTGATCCGAGAATCATGGAGAAGTTACTTATGTGATAATCCAGCCTGTCTCAGCTTTTGTATATTCAATATATCATACATATATATTTTCCTTCACTTCCAGATGCTCGGCACGCTGACTCTCGGTTGGCCTAACTTCGATCCGCAAGCGATATCCATGGATTACGAGAGAGCTTTAATGAACGCGTTCACAGCGTACTCCCCCGTCGCATAGATGCATGGATGTTTCTTCCATCTAGTCCAAAACATAAAAAAACGAGTTGCGGCGCGAGGATCGAGCAGGAAATATCGAAATGAGCCCGACTTCGCGTTGAGAGTGAGAATGATCTCGGCTCTCGCTTTTATAAGACCGGATCGTTTGGAAAGCGCGTTGTCAGACCTCCGCGGCGAACTACCCGCGGATCTCCAGCCGGTACTTGATTACTTCGAAGATAACTACTGATGCGGACTATCCCTCGGTATCCCTAGAAATGACTGGGTCTGACGATCTGGGCACTGGATACCCGAGGAGATTGCCGGATTGCTACTGGTGCTCTTCGATCCGTCTCGCCTACGCGAGAGCTCGATAGCAAGTGAAGTGCGCGGGCGTTCGCTACCGTCGACCATCGAAGTCCAGACGTGCCTGGGCACGACATTCGCACTCGAGCAAGGCGTTTCTCCAACGGGCCTTCTCTTTATTGATAATCTCCAAGAAATACCTATGGCCATTCGCCACACTCCCGGCCGAATTCCGGCCGACTCTCAACGATATATTTGTAATCAATTAATACACAGCGTCGCGGCCTCGTGACTAACAATGTGGCACACATTGGAATGTCTGCCCGGGACGCTCGATATGAATAAGTCTTGCGGGGAACACTGGATGTTTCGGAACAGAAGGCGGAAGGAATTTGAGATGCTAGAGATTGGATCTGCGCGACAATGACTCGACATCGAAATGGACATCCGATGCACAGATCCTCGAGTAATTGAGATGTGCGATGTGCAGCGTCTAAACCCCCCATTGGTCCATTCATCCTCTCCCGTCGCCAATTTCGCGATCCCGAATCCCTTTTTGCATCATTTGTGTCCGTGCTCTGGAAGCAACCAAACATGCCGGACTGTGATTTTGACCGTAGCCCATTGGGCCTGTTCGTGCGCTCGGTGCACCTCCAAGCCTGCCTGCGCGGCGTGCCGTTCGGAGTGTTACGCGCCGCAGCCCGCGTCGTGTGGGATGAGATGACCTACGCCGAAAGAGGACCCTACATCGAGCGCCGACGGGCCTCTCGAAGTCGCGGCACGCGGGATCCTGTCCCCCCACCCACCGGCCCCGAACTCCTCAACCGTGTGCTCAGGGCACTAGATCAACGCCGGGCAGACGAGCCCGCCGCCGAGCCGGATCCAGTCCGCAGCGCCGCTCTGACGCGCCGCCTCCTGTGTGCCGCCTCGCAACGACGAAGAACCCCGGCCGCCCGGCTCCAGTCCGGGGCCGCCGTGCCCCTGCGCCCCGCCGCGCCGCCGCCACCCGCCGTCCGCGGACCGCGCCCGCCCGTCGCCCTCCAGCCTCAACGCCAGGAGAACCTCCGGCTCGAGGAGGAGCTCGAGAGGGAGCGCGCCCGGACCCACGCCCTGCACGAGTCCCTGCGCCTGGAGCGGGCCCGCTACCGGCCCGAGACCGAGTTCCAGGCTCGCCGACGCGAGGCCTATGAGGCACTAATGCGGCTCCCTTGAGCCGCACAATAAATTTTTCATTTTTCTTGTATTCTTCAACCGCCGTGTCTTTTGTTCCCATTTTGATATTTCAGTCCGCCCCGCCCCGAGTCCAAACTCGCTTCGCCGCTAAACTTCCAGCGGGTAGAGCAGCTGAATCGGTCGACTGAATGTCTGACCTGTTTCCAACTTGATCAAGCACGACCGCTGCCGTAGATCCGTACGCTTTCCCCCCGGAAGGCTCAGAACTCGACATAGGGGCCAATGAGCTCTCGACGGGACTGAGTCTTTGAGTAGACAGATATCTCCGACCTTTATCGAACGCGGTGTGACTGGATCACGAATATGCGCTGAACGCAGATATTGCAAGTATTCCTCTTTGAAACGCTTCTGAAAATTCTTCAACACCGCTTGCTGGTATTTCCAACGACGAGAAAAGACGATCGAATCGGCCGCGTCCCTATTCTTGGGTCTGAGACGCATCTCCGGCAGACTCACTTTCACGCGATGACCATAAACCAAATCTGCTGGACAGAGAGCACTAATCTCGTTTGGGTCCATCTGAACCGATGTTAGTGGTCTCTGATTTACTAGTGCTTCGATCTCGAACAGCACTGATTCTAGCTCTCTGAAGGAGAGCGTGTTCCGACCCAATATTTTCCGCAGGGGTCTTTTCACCGTCTGAACCATCCGCTCCCACCAAGCACCGTGCCACGGCGCTCTAGCGGTTATGAATTCCCAGGATACTTCCGCCTTAGCCAAATGCTGCTGGACAGCCTGAGACTTCACGTGATCGTAGATGATTCTGAGCTCTTTAGCCGCTCGCACGAAACTTAAGCCGTTATCGGAAATTATCTTCGTCGTGCATCCGAAACGACTCAGGAATTTTTTCAGCGACGAGAGAAACTCGTAGGTGCTCATGTTCGGAACCAACTCCAAGTGCAGAGCCCTCGTGCTCGAACACACATATAGCAGAATGTAGCTCTTGGCCGTTTCTCCCTGCTCATTCTTATAAGGAATCGGCCCGGCGTAATCGACTCTCGTGACCGTGAAAGCCGGCGCTGTGTCGATTCTAAACTCTGGAAGCGGTGGTACCGGTTCCAACG